GTGATAAAGTGAGTATATAGGAAGTTTATTAAGCAGTATTTTAATTTTAAAGGATTTAAGTTAATAAAGTTTAAAATTTGTAAGATTGTATGTAACTTTTTAGTTATAATTAAAATAGAACTATATAAATTTTCAGTCTATTTGTTAGTTAAGTGAAAACAATTCATTATTATATTTTTAAGATAATTATATTATTATGTTACATCAAACTAGCTAAAAAGTGTATAGATCAAGATCCGCAAAAACAACCCACTGCAAATAAAATTAGCTTAAAGCTTTTAAAATATAGATTTTATAGATAGTTTTAATAAAATATCTGGTAGAATATTCTACTAGAAACTGATTCTCTTCCTATTGCAGAGTATGAAATAGGTTGTAGATATTAAAATAATTAAAGTATTAATCCTAACAAGCTTTAAAATTTAATTCATAGTCTTTGTAATATATGCTTCTTAACTTAATTCAATTTTTTAATCTATATTTTAATTTTTGTAAAGTTCAGGCTCATACTGATAATACTTTTAATAATTTAGCTGATTTATTGGCTAAATAATATATATCTGAATATTATTACAATAGTAAAATTAAGTTTTATAAATTTAAAAATAATAGATTGAAAGTTTGTATTGATATTAATAAAAGAGTTATAAAAAGTAGTTGAAATAGTAAATAAAATAGAATAAAGTTTAGCTTTATATAAGATTAGTTATAAATAAATTTTAACAAAAAATTTATAAATTATTTGATTATTATTATCTATTTGAACCTAGTCTATACCTATAAAGCATTAGTTAATATCAATATTGATAACTAATCTATTTATATAAAAATTAAAAATATTTTGAATTGAGTTAGATAATAAAATTTTAATTAGTTTGTCAGGTTTGTTATTAGGATAGAAAATTTCTAATATATAGTATATGACACTTAAAGACTAAAATTAATTTACTAATTTTTAAAAGCTAATAACTCCTAATACAAAAAACAGTATTAAAAAAAAGCTATTAAATTGTAATTAAATCTATTTACTACAACTTGGTGACTCTTTTTTAAAAAAATATTTATTTATTCTCAACTTATAATAATTTAAAAATACACAATTTATATATATTTATTGATAAATAGAACAAAAATATAACTTAGATCAACCAATCAAACTTAATTTCACAAATAGATGCAATTTTATTGGTCAAACAAAGATTATATAAATAGGGAAATTATTTTGGATTAGATTAGAGATAAAATTAAGGTTGGGTTAGAGTAAAAACTTGATGGAGAGTATTTTTTATTAATTATATAACAGGGATTATCCTAGTAAAATTTTGAGATATTATTGAAGAGTGCACCAAGTACAGGGTGCATCAAAAATAAATGTTCATGTAAATATGTATAAGAATCAGAATTTTCATATAATAACTTTGTTGTGAGAACTAATTAATAAATATATAAAAATAAAAAAATTATAAAATACTTCAAGAATATAACAAAAAAAAGAGAGTACAAACTAAAAAAAATGAAAAAAAGTTGCATATACCTTTAAGGACACTTTTGCTAAAGAAAACATTTGTATTGAAGATATTTTTGTTGAAAAATACCTGTGCTGAACATGCCTTTGTTGAAGATATCTTTGCTGAAGATATCTTTACTGAAGATATCTTTACTGAAAATATGTTTGTTAAAACAGTGAGTTTGATGAAAATGAAAAAAAGATTGATAAAGTAATAACGATACTAACATTTATATAGAAGAAAGATAAAAAGAAAAGAGCAAAAATAATTAAAAAATTACCAAAATCAATATATTATTGTAAGCTTGGTACTTCTAGTACACTTGTAACTACCACCAGAGGAACTTATAAATTATAAGTTTTTTTAAAACTTTAAGATTAATAAAATAAGATATTAATACTTATATAATTATATAGTATATGTTTAAGTTTTTAATTATCTTTATTATATTATTAAGTGTATTTTTCAGAAAGTTTCAATACTTTTTGAGTTTTTTATATTTTTTATGACTTTCTAGGCAAGTAAATTTTTTAGTAGACCTATAACTATTTCAAGTTGTCTTTATTAAGTGAATCTTCTAATTGGTCTTTAATGTCCCTTTTAAATAATGATATGAATAAATTTACACTTTATAAAAAAATTGAACAACTGAAAGAAAACCTTATGATAAATCAAAAAAATTTTAAACTATTGAATATAATAAACAATGAGTGGTTTATGAATATTTAGTGTGATTAGATGATGATAATAGCAAGATAAAAGCAAGCAAAAAAGTTGTAAGTATTGTATATATCTCTTTTAAACTATATATATCTCAAAAGATTTGTTTTTTAGCTAAATTTTATTTATATCACAAATTATTTTTAATTAGGGCAGTGTCATTTATCATCTGATTATTTTTTATCAAAGGCTTACCCTCTCCCCCCTTAATATAAAAAAAAACAGGTTCTTATATATAATTTTAACTTCTTTTACCCCTCCCCCCTAAAAAATTATCTAATTTTTGTCACGTCCCTTATACAATATGGTTAATACAAAAATATTATTAACTTATTGATAACAAAGATATTGCTTTGTAATATAAAAAATGAATATACAAAAATCAGAAGTAAATAAAATTAATAGATGATTCACCAGTCATCTAGAGAGCTATATGATGCAGATTATACAAAATTTATATATAAATTATATATAAAATTTTCAAATAGTAAATGTAGAGATTTTTTAAAGAAATGTAAAGAAAACTTTTTTCTTACTAAATAATTATTCTTGGGCTTCTAACAAAAGTTGTAGAGCCAAAAAAGAACGTTAAGTCCTGGGATAGGCAAACCAGCAGCGGTAGCAGAACTTGGTTTGAGATACGGGTTAGTAGTACTTGGACTGATAAGTGGAAGGGTTTATTGTAAATAATATAGAGTAATCTGATAGTGTAATACCAACTTAGTCATGTGTAACTAGGCAGCAAGTTTTTGGTTTGAGATACGGGCTATAGAAAGGCCATCTTCACCAATTACGGTTGCACTAATAGAATCTATAAGGAGACTTGCAGTAGATTGTATTTGCAGATACACCAAATTGGGAGCTCATTAGGAGCAAGTACCTGATATATCAAATTGGAAGTTATAACTAGTCATGTGAGACATAGGAGAAATATAGTGATTACTGGAAATAGTTAGTTGTAAAGCAAAAAGCTAGGTGAGATATATGTGGGGCATAGAATATTCTAGTAGGTTTAGGTTATAGATAAGTTAGTCTAAGTCTCTGTAGTTCATAAAGTTAATATATATGTATATATAATTGTTCATCGAAGCTATATGTTAATAAAAACCAGAGGCATAACCTCATCTTAATATTAAAAAAAAAAAAAAAACAAAAGTTGTAGAGCTTATCAAAATACATCTAATGGTGGTGAGAATACTAAATCGGCCTGGTGGTTCTTGAGAAATCTTTAAAAAATGTTTTGCCGACATATAAAATTTCTTTAAAAAAAATTGATTTTTTTTTTAAGAATTTTTATATATTGGTGAAACATTTTTT